CACACAGAAGTCGGCCAGCTAAGGGGCACATCATCTCTCCCCAACTGTGTGACTTTAGGTAGGTGACTTCACGTCTCTGAACCTCTGCTTCCGGATCTGAGTCACACGGGATACGTGTCTCACGGGGCTGCCAAGAGGATTGCTTCACATCACCCAGGGAAAGCATGAAGCGAGTGGCATCTAAGGGTTCATTGTGGGTGCAGTTTAGAGCTGTCTCCGGGTTCAAGGACGACAGGGGGAAACCCGTGGGTGGCACCTGAGGCCCACCCAGTGCAAAGACAGTTCCAGACTCACAACAAAGGACCACAGAGGCTGGAAGGACATTGGTCTGTGACGTGAGGACCAAAGTCCACAGCGGGCCGCAGCTGGGAGCAGCAGGAGGAGGTATTGCTGGGTACGGCAGGCAGCTTGCCTGACAGGAAGTTGTCAAAGCTGCTTCAAGTTAAAAAAAAAAAAAAAAAAAAGCCACAAGGACAGTCCAATGGAGTGTAATCCCAGCACTCGGGAGACTGGGCAAGAGTATTAGCATAAGTTTAAGGCCAGACTGCTTTATATCACTACATGGGGATATCTTATCTTCTAAAAATGAAAAAAAAAAAAGAGAGAGAGAGAGAGAGAGAGAGAGAAAGAAAGAAAAAAGAAACTCCAAAGTCCACAGATCCAAATCACAGCATATTGTCACTTATATTTTTTGTGCTCTGAGATTCTCACACATGCTGCCCCAAAGTCTCAGTTATACTTTTATACACACTCGTCACAAACGCATACCCCTAGGCCAGGGACGCTCCGCCCAGCCTTTCTTCATCTCCCCTCACCTATCCTGGGCTCTGGCCTCCTTTGAGATCTTCCCCTGGCTCTCCCTCCGGCCCCCTAGTCCAGTCAACAGCCGGGCCAGGCGAGCTCCGAAGCCCCTGCGCGGCTCTTTCATGGCGAGATCAAGGTCTGGGGCTTGGGCGCTTGGCTGCGGTGCCACCCGGATCCGCTGTCCAGGCAGAGAAGCGCCTCCTCCGGCCCGTCCCCCTGAGCAAACAGCGACTTCGCTTGCAAGGGCAGCGGGCGGGGTCCTGCTCCAGATGTTGTCCATGCCCTGGGGAGCCAGGTGCCCACTCCAGGTCTCCGTCCCGATTACTCCTCCCGAGCCTCACACACCTCGCCCTCCTGAGCTTCTGCCCTCAGCCTCTGGGGGTGTCAGAGGTGTGTGCGCCCTCTGGGACCTTGCCCTGGGCAAAGAGCAAGGGAGTCTGGGACCCGCCGGGGCTGGGGACCGGGACCGAGCCTGGGAAGGTCCCGGAGCGGAGCGCGGACAGAGTCTCGCCGACTGGGCGTGGAGGAGCCGGAGGGGTTGGCATCCCCGCTCCCCAAAGCTGTGGCAAAGCTGAGCAGAACCCGGGCCTTCGTCGCTGGCGAGGCCGCAGCCCACGTTGCCGTCGCCTGATGCCATCCCTAGGAGGGTTCTCCGTCTTGGAGCCACCTGACACGTGGAGTGGGATTGTCACTTCGTACGGAGGTGAGGAGAGCCACAGGAAACCAACGGAGGTGCGACTGGCGCCCCCTGCCGACATTCGGACGAAGGACCGACTCACAGCGGCTAGAAGTGAGTCATTCGGTGCGGCCTTCCTTGGCTTGGGTTCTAACCTGATCCAGGCAGTTCGCTTTGACGCGCGGTGTGTGTGTGTGTGTCGGGGGGGGGGGGTGAGCTTGATCTTTGATCTCCTGAGGATCTCCCCTGGAGGAGACTCCAGGGAGGCAGGACTCAACTGCCGCACTCTTTTCCCTGTCTGTAGCCCTAATTGGCTCTACTCCCCCCCCACCCCCGCCCTCTGGTCCTGATACACAGGGGACATCATGATTCTGGGGCATGAGAGGACAGGAGGCTCTGGCGTCTCTTTTTTGAGCCCCGCCCCCGTCCTGTGGAGAATCGCGCCCCACCTGATCATGGCAGGTAAAGCCGGCTGCACACAAATCAGGTCTTGCTTACTTTCCTGTTACTTCAGGATGCTTTGGCCATCCCACCGGGTAACTAAACCGGCCGATACTAACCTAAGGGCTGCGGTCCTCCTGCGTCTGGTGTTCCCTCCCCCGCCGCCCCCCCCTCCCCACTGAGCACACTCTGCCTTCACCCAGCCCTGAAAGGTAGCACTGTCCATCGGTGAGTTGGGACGGTGCGCTCAGTCCCAGATAGGTCACAAACGAGAGAGTGGAACCCAAACCCAGCCTGAGGAAGATGGCTGCGGGTGCCCTCCCACGTGGGCTGTGTACCCTGCTCTGCTTCCCGGGGAGAGGGGGGATCTGGCAGGTGGGCAGGGACATTCCCCTCCACTGGAGATGCTCAGGAGGCCTTGAGGCAGCACTGAGAGAAATCTTTTCATTGCCAACTCTGCTCCGGGAGAAATGCTAGCAGCGCTGCTCAGGCCGGCTGCCCTTGCTCTCCCTGGGAGACGGAGGACACCTTGATGACCAGCCCACGTCCTTCTCCGATGATGCTTCCACAAGATCTCCTGCTCTGTGGCGACACTGGCTGGGCACAGGTGAGAGAGGGGAGTGGCAGGTAGGTGTGGGCCAGGCCATGGGGCCGAGGCTCCTGCAGCCTCTGGTGCAGCTTCAGGTAGACATGCGGGGTGAGGTGGCTTGCACAGACGCTGCACTGGGACCGCTGGGCACTCGAGGGCTGGCGAAGGTGGGTCTTGAGGGTGCTGGAGCTGCTGAAGCGCTTGTGGCATATCTGAGAGAAATGGGTGCTCGCATCATCCCCGCCCTCCAGCTGGCTCAGGGACACTCTCCCCACCCCCACCCATCTTGGAAACACCTCCCTGTCAAAGCAGGCAGGCCCAGAAGCCTTTCCCGATGGCTTCTCTGTGGGACCCACAGCATGGCACAGCCTGGTAGGCTGGGTTTAGCATTCTTCTTTCATTCCAGGGTGACTTCCTGTGAGTGACTTCCCCCTGAGTTTCTTTCTCTGTCAGTAATAGATGAGCTTTGACTCCTAACCTCATTAGGTAGGCAAGACCAATTAAGGCAATCACATAGAACCCTGGTTCAGGAGCTGCAGGATCAGTGGGTACAGTCAACATTTATGGGGGGTAGAGAGCTGGCAAGCCAGGACTTACTAAGAAACCAGTGAGACAGCAAAGGCTAAGAAGCCACTAGCTAAAGGCCATACCCTATGACATCACCTGGGTCCTATGACATCATCTGGGTCCTATGATATCACCTGGGTCCTGACATCATTCTTGTCCTATGTCATCACATGGGTCCTATGACATCACCTGGGTCCTATGATATCACCGAGTTGGGAGGAGGAGCTACAATTTGATCAGCGGTTTGATCTCGAAGTTGAGACTCAGAACCACACCACACCGCCCTCATTTCTGCCCCTGAAAAAGGAGTCTCTCCCAAAGAGTGAGGGCAGACTCAAAGAATAATCCAGTTGCTTCTCTATTTGGACTCTTGGCATATGCTATGGCCCCTTCAACAACCCGAGGAGGGTGGGAAGAGCACGCATGCTCTTCTCCTCCAAAGTCCCTCCTTCTCGTGGACCTTCTCTGTCTCTCACACGAACACGCGCGCACACCATCCGCTCTCTCCACTAGCCATCTTCCCACCCTCCACACACTTATCTTACTCTCTGCCTACCCGGGATTGGGAAATAGAGGCGCGGGTGCACCTCCCCTGCAGGGCCCGGACTTCTCCACCAGGCTGCAGGGGTACAGTGAAGGAGGAGGGCCTCACCCGGCACTGGGGGGGCCGCTGGCTGGTGTGCACGGAACGGTGCTTCTGCAGGTGGGCCAGCTGCGTGAAGCCCCTGTGACACAGCGCACACCGGAACGGGCGCTCCCCACTGTGCACGCGCAGGTGGACCTGGAAGAGATCTCGCCAGCTGCCCAGAACGCCCAGCAGGGCCCAGACTCCACCCCGAATCTCCACCCACGCCCTGTGCGGGAGGCTTTGCTGGCGTCGGGGCCTCCATCACCTCCCTCACCAGCCATGGCTTCCCAGGACGCTCTCATTCTTTGGTCTGCCCTGTGGCGGAGATTCGGGAAGACAGATAAGGGGTACCCCAGGTATTGCCTAGAACAGCTCCCTAAAGTACAGTTCAAAGGCCAGCAGCATTGTCATGACCCGGGAGCATGCCAAAAATGCAGCGCCTAACCCTGCTGAGTCATCACCTCCGAGGCCGGGGGCCCGGGAACCTGCAGGTTTGCTAGCTTGCTGGGTGGTTGGAGGCTTAAGGCTTAGGCATCCCTTCCTCGGAGGAGCCAATGGAGCTGTTTCCCCAGTAGCCATAGCTTGTGGTCTGATAACAGCGGGGCCCGCGGGCGGCCCCTGATGGAAGACCTACATGATGCTACAGCGCCTGGCCTGGTTTGTGGGATCCCACTTGAAAAAAGTTTGCAAGACTGTGGTCTCCATTCCACAAAACCTCCCCACTCTCCCTGTCTTTGTGATCTTCGAAAGCAATAAAGAGGCTTAGCTGGGATACCGTCTCGGAAAGAGCTCAATAGATGATGCCGAGAAACTGAAATCCAAACGAACCCACTGATAAGTTGCGGTTACCCTGGAAAATTTCCATCTACTGTGGGCCTTAGTTTTCCCATGTTTAGCTTAAAGAAGGTGATCCCACAGACAATCTTCCAGGATGGAGGGCACTTCAAAGTACTTCCTCTCCCCCTCCCCCCATTTATTTTTTGAGACAGGATCTCGCTGGGAAGCCCTGGCTGTCCTGGAACTTGCTATAGATACCAGACTGGCCTCAAACCCACTGAGATCTGCCTGCCTCTGTCTCCCAAGAGCTGGGATTAAAGGCGTGAGCCACCACTGCCCAGCTTTTTTTTTTTTTTTTTTTTTAAGATGGAGTCTCAGTATATTGCCCAAACTGGCCTTGAACGTCTGCCATTACCCTCCTGCCTGCGTCTCCTGAACGTCAGAGCCAAAAGTGCGCTCCACCAAGCCTGGATGGTGGTCAGCGTGTCCTGGGTTTCCACCCAGGGGAAACCTCAAGATCACACATCCCCGGGAGGTGTCCAGGAGTGGTTTCCAGACTCCAGGACTCGATTCTGGAAGCGAGGTGAAAGGCAAGAGAGACACTGGAGGATCGAAGGGGACGGCAGGACCCAGGGAACCGATACCTTGAGGTTGGAGAGCTGCCCGAAGCTCTTGCCACACAAGTTGCACTCGTATAAGATTTTTCCATTCTCTTTCTTTAGAGGGTAGGGCAGGGCGCCGGCACCCGCCCGGGAGCCTGGCGCAGCCCGCTTTGCCAGAGCTGCCACACCAGCTTGTCCCGGGGTCAAGGCGTCTTTAGCGCTCCAGCTCCTGACCTGCGAGCAGAGGGTGTGGCTGGCGCTCTGGCACTGTGAGTAGAGAAGCGGGGTCTTCTCTTGAGCGATCCGGGGCCCAGCCCCGTCGGCTGTCATGAGCAAGCTGGGCGCAGCCACAGTGGGGTACACGGTGTCTGGGGGTAGCGTGAGGAGGTGCAAACATTGGGCAGAAGGTAGGGGCCCATAAGTCAATAGATAAGGGGGAGGCAGAAGCGGGTACCCCGGAAAGACGGGGTAGATGTAGGCAGGGAGCTCCTTGGAGAGGAGAGTGGGAGAAAGCCAGGGCCAGGAGGTCCAGGGACTAGGCCTGGCATCTGGGGAGAAGCTGGTCTGAGGAGGGAGGAATGGGCAGGGGCCTCTTTCTGGCTGGTTTCCCATCTGGTCTCTATCCGGGGAGTCCCCGGCTGCGAGTTTCTCACTGTCAGCAGAGCCCTCGTGCACTCTTGGCGGCTGGTGCCCTGAAGCAGAAAGGGAAGATGATCAGTCTGGACTGAACATATGGCTCCTCTTAAGCCCGCTCAGCTCTGAGTTGGGAAAGAACCTGCGAGACGATGAGGCAACTTGGGCGAAGGCACTTCCTTTTGGGACTCAGTTTCTCCGCTGCTACTGAGCCTGTAATAAAAGCTGCCAGGGTGCAGGGAGGGCCTGAGAAAATCCTACAAGCAGCCTAACTAGACATCAGGGAGAGGATTCAAGCGCACTTGGTGGGGGGCTTGTTGTGTGCACATCAGGGAGAAGGGTTAAACGAACACCCCACTGGACATGGGGGAGGGGAGAGGTCAGGTGTGCAGAGAGATATGCTGAAGTTTAAGGGAGAGGTCCCGGATTAAAAAATATATAAATTTGGGTGTCATAGGTCAAGAGGAGGTCATATAAGGGACCCAAGGGACCCTTAGCTGCTGAACACATGACTAAATTTACATTAAAGTGCTTTTAATGAAATGTTCAGTTCTTTGCCGGGCACGGAGGTACACGCCTGTTGTCACAGAACTTGGGAGGTAGAGGCAGGAGAATCAGGAAGGAGTTCAGTGTCATCGTTGGCTGCATAGTAAGTATGAGACCAGCCTGGGCTACATGAAATCTTGTCTCAATAAAAGAGAACAACAACCACAAAAATTTAAAGCAACAGGGTCCCCAAGTTGGCTCAGCGAGTAAAGGTGCTTGCTGCCAAGCCTGATGACCTGAGTTCAAGCTCCAGGACCCACACGGTGCAGGCAGAGCACTGACCTCCTGCAGGCTGCCCTCTGACCTCCGCCTGCATACCATGGACACAGGCAGGAAAGTGTGCCTGGGGCTCTATCCTCACCTGTGACAGAGTCCCAGCCCCCTCTCCGACCCCAAACCTGTGTCCTTCAACCTGCCAGCGAAGCTCTCAGATCCAGCCCCAGGCCTCGGACTCACTCATGTCTGAGGCGTCCTCTCTGAGATCCTGTGGGCCCCCGGCCAGGGGTGTCTTCTGCAAGGCACACAGGCATAGGTCCGGCCAATGGGGGCAGCCCAGCAAGGAAGACTTAGCTGGTGCCACTGGCAAGGGACACATCCAGCCGGTCGGGGACAGGTCACAAGCATCCCTTGTGTCTGGAAGTGACTGAGAGGTATCGGCTGAGAAGACCTGGGAAGGAAGGAAAGGGGTGTGAGGGCCTGGGGCTTCCTAGTTTGGTTTTTAAAGGGAAGGAGGGAAGCTATGGGCTCCCACCGACCACACCTTGCATTCTAATGCTCTCCTGCCCTTCTCCAAAGGTTTCTTTCTCCAAGGGCTCTTTTCATTGACCCTAGACAGTTCCCTCTTCCCTATATAACCCGTCCTCTTCTCCCTCTAACCACCCCCAACTCGTGATCACCCTGGTATCTGTCTGTTGTGTTATTCTGAATGAGATCAAGTAAACTTGTGGGGGACATCCTCATCCAAGACTGCAAAGCCCACAGTGACGTTCTGAGTCCCCTCCCCCTAAGGTCCAAGTCCATGGTCATCCAGCAAAGCCTCTGTGTGGCCTCTCTCCCTTCTTGTCCATAAGATAATCTGAGCCCCCTAAAGCAGGTACTCAGGACCTCAGGAAGGCAAAGGCCTCGCTCTTTCAGGCATTCTTATTAAGTGGCAGCCATTCTGGGAGAGAAGGGTAGGTCCCACCCTACCTGGTCATCTTGACAGAGTTGGAAGTCCAGGCTGGGGGACAAGTAGCCTCCTGAACCACCTAGGGCCTTTGTCTTGTAGCAACAACCCAACTGGGCAGCTGGTTTTCTCTTCATGTTCCCGCTACCTGATGGGGAGATGGGTGAGTGGAGGTGAGCTGTGAAGGCTTCGTTCTGTCCAGCTGTGGCTCACCCACTGTGAGGTGAGGCTGTGAGCAGGTCACTTTCTTCCTGTAAGCAGGGACAGACGGACTGGAGACGTAGTTTAGTTGGCGGAGTCTGTGTGGGGCATGCGTGAGGCCTTGGGTTTGATCTCCAGCAACACATAAACTGGGCATGGTGGGGAACACTGTAATTCAGGCACTCAGGAAGAGAAGGAAGAAGAGGGAGGATCGAGACTGTACGTAAGGTCATCCATGGCTCTATAGGGAGGTCAAGGCTTTGAGACCCTGTCTCAAAGAAGAAGAATGGATATGGTCCTAGCTAAAGTGTGACAACTGTCTTGGTTTTGTAGCTGTTTGTTTGTTTTTTTTTGTTTTGTTTTGTTTTTTGTTTTTTAAGACAGGGTTTCTCTGTGTAGCCCTGGCTGTCCTGGAACTTGCTCTGTAGACCAGGCTGGTCTTGAACTCAGAGATCCATGTGCCTCTGCCTCCTTCGTGTGCCACCACTACACATGTCTTAGTCCTGACGTGCAGAAGCCAAGGATTTCCCCGGAAGGTCCAGAGAGGGGGCTCTCAGGGGACATTCTGGATTCCTCGAGACTGTTGAGAATTGAGGAGAGCAGGACTGTGCCAACCAGAGCCTCCTACCATCCAGGCTCACCAGTCGGCTTTTCTGGGCAACATCAGGGCCTTATGAACTTTGATCCAAGCTCAACAACCTCAAAAGCTGTGAAATCCCAGAAAGGGAGAGGCCCCAGATGCCACCCAGCTAGCCTGACAAAAGGAGATGCCCCGGTGTTCGGCTGACTGCCAGTCAGCGCTCTGATGCCCTGCTACCCTAGCTGGGCAAATGCCTCTCCACCCCTCCCCTCTTAAGCGGCCCCAAATGCCCCCCCCAGACCCTAAAACCCTCAGTCCATTGTCTCAGACCCCCAACCCCTGCTTTTTCCCTCTCTCCCAACTCTTTCCCAACTCTTCCTCACGTCTCAAATACCGTGGTCTGGGAGGCACCAGCTGGCCTTGTGGGCTCCTCTCGGTGTTCTGCCACAGTGCTCTCTGGCTGGGAGGGAAGGAGGTTGGGCAGGTGGGCAGCGGTGCTCTTATCTGAGGCCCCAGCGGGTGAGAGAAATGACAGGAAGATGCAGCACATTTGAAGTTGCCTTATTAGGCTTCCTGAAAAGAAAGAGAAGGGTGCAGAGCAGGCTGCCAAGGCCCCTTTGGTCCTTAGGGCCAAAAATCTTGCTTGTTTTTTTTTTTTTTTTTTCTCTCTCTCTTTTTGAAACAGGGTCTCCCATAGCTGAGGCTGGCCTTGAACTCCCGATCCTCTTTCTTCTGTTTCCCAAGCACTGGTGGTGTTGGGTGCATGTGTACCACACCCACCACAGCCCAGAGTGAGTTTTGCCTGTGGTCCTTGCTGCCCCCAGCCTCCAACGATATAGCATGTTGCTGCTGTTGTTTTGAGACAGGGTTTCCTGTAGCTGGCTTCAAATCCCCTCTGTAGCCCAGGCTGGCTCTGAACCCTGGTATTCTCCTGCCTCCGCTGCTTAAGTTCTGAGGACTGCAGCCCTGCCCTTCTGTTCATCTGTCTGCTGTGCTTTACCTCTGCACAAAGCTGGAGCCTCTCCACCTTACAACGGGGAGTCTGTGTGACCAGACGACGAAGGAACAGCCTTCAAGTCAGAGTCTCCCAAGGATCCCAGGAACCAGCCCCTTTCGCAAGCGGCCTGCTGTGTACCCAAGGTGCTTTATCCCACTTAATCCTCATCACAAATCTGAGGAGTCAGCCGGTCTTATTCTTCCCATGATCAATGGGCTCAGAGGGAGTTAATAACAAGACTCATTCAAAGTCTCACAGCAAACTGGCAAGCGTCCTCTATCGTCAAACCTTGGACTTTGGTTATCTCTTGGCGATGTGAGCTCTGTTTGCTAACACACTTTTAAATTTTATGCTTATTTTTTTAAGTGTGCGTATACACACGTGAGCACAGGCGCTTGGAGAGACACGCGCACGCAGACCCTCCTGGCGTCCTTTCCCTCGACTTCCCGCTCTTTCCCATACTGACAGGCTGGGAAGCGAACCCCTGTTCCTTGTGAGGGTGGTCAGTGCTTTTCCCCACCCATCTCTACAGCCCTCCATCTGATTTTTCAAAACAAGGTCTTTCACTGAACCCGGGGTTGGCCAATTCAGCTAGACTGGCGGGCCAGGAAGCCCCAGAGACACCCTGAGCTCTGCCTCCCCGCTCTTGGGGGGGGGGGGAAGGTACAGACACTACCTCCCCACTGGGGGGGGGGGTACAGACAGAATCTAAAAAAAGAGCTATGTGGTAATGCCCCTCCCCCACGCTCCCCAGTGGTCACTGAGCTTTTAAACCCCCGCCCTTCAGAACATTTTTTATTTTATGTTATGTGTATGGGTGTTCTGCCCTCATGCACACCTGTGCACTGTGCCTGCGTGTGCGTCACGGAAGCCAGAGGATCCCATGTGAATGTCGGGAAGGAAGAGCAGCCAATGCCCTTAGCCATCCGCCCAGCCCCCGACTACCATCGTCCCTTCTTGCTTTTGTTTTGTTTGGTCTGGTTTGTGTTTTTTGAGACAGGGTTTCTCTGTGTAGCCCTGGCTGCCCTGGAACTCACTCTCTAGACCAGGCTGGCCTTGAACCCAGAGACCTGTCTGTGCCACTACCACCCAGCCTTTTTCTCGCTTATGGTGCAACAAAACTTTACTAACTTTTTAAGAGAGGTTCAACTATCGGCGAAACTTGCAATTTCTAAATGGCAACGGAGGCGAGCGAACCAGCAAACTGGCGAATCAACATTAAGTTTGCTGAGGATTGTTTTTTTTTTTGGGGGGGGGGTTAGATTTGTTTGATTATTCTAACTGTGTGTGTATGTGTGCAGGCATGTGGGTACGTGCAGAGGGGCGCAGGTCCCTGACGAGGCCAGAGGCATTCCCCCGGGGGCTGGAGCACACAGACAGCTGTGAGGGCCTAACAGGGACACTGCGAACAGGATGCGCCATCTCTCCAGATTTCAGTCTGCACATGTAATTACAGAGTGGGTGGGTGTCACCTGTTCTCTTTCTACCCCCAGGACCGCTGCTGGGTGCCCGGGGTTCACACGGGGCCCTGATCACCTGTTGCTAGGTAGCGCTCCTCTGTGGGGGCCTGCTTCCTATGACGGTCCCCTATCGGCAGACAGAGAGGAAGACAATATGGGAAGAGGACCCTCAGAGTCCCCGTGTGCATGTGCCTGTGGGTGTGGGTGTGTGTGGAGGGGTTAATCCGGCCCTGCGGGAGGACATCCAGCTCTAAGTCCTCTGATCGCTCTGCTCTCTTCATCTGTCAATCTCTGCCTCACGGAGGTTTTGTCCAGGATCCCTCAAGAGAATCAGGGTAAAGCCCTTGAGGCTGGGCCTGGCCCTCAGCAAGTTCTCGGAACAAGTGAGCAACTGTTGCTGTTTTCTGTCACCCTGGTCAGGCAGGGGCCTGAGGCAGCTTCAACCCTGAGAGGCTTCAAAAGGGCAGGGCTGTGCTTGGGTAGACTGAGTTCTGCTTTATGGCTGTGTTCATTAACCCCATCCGGCTGGGGATCACTGCCCTCGTGCAATGCCCGGGTCCGGTCTACACAGCGCAGAAACCGCCCCTGGTGCCATGGCAGCCCTCATCGAGTGCCAGCGACTGGGTAAGACATGTCTACAAGCTTTGCCCCTCCCTGTCAGTGCCATGGACGGTGGTGCCTCAAGATGGATGTTACTGTTCCCATCTTACAGGGGAGAAAACTGATACTCAACGGAAGAAAGTGACTCACTCAACATCACAGAACCCCACACCTGAGGACAGATCAGAGGGTGGAAGGGCGTTTTTACAGGGGTGCGAGGTGAGGCCAAGCAGGGTACAAAGCTTCGGTGACATAAGGTGATGCTAGAGACAGAGTGAGAAGGATGGCGAAGAGTACTGGAGAGAGCAAGGCCGGGTGCAAGCCTCAGGCCCGAGGATCCCGAGTTCTAGGCCAGCCTGGGGATTCTAAGTGAAAAAAAAGGAGGAGGAGCAGGAGAGAAAGAAAAAGGAAAAGGAAGGAAGAGGAAGGAGGGGAGGCCGGAGAGATGGCTGCGCAGCTCTCACAGAGAACTTGAGTTGGGTTTTGGCACCCAAAAGAAGCAGTTGGAGAAACCCCTGTAATTTTGTGAGATACAGCGCCCTCTTCTGGTGCCTTCAGAGGGCACCTGCACATGTACACAGACACATACACATAAATTTAACAAAATCTTAGCTGGGCCTGGTGGTGCATGCCCTTAATGCCAGCACTGGAGAGAAAGAGGCAGGAGGAGCTCTGTGGGTTCAGGGCTGGTCTACACAGAGAGTTCTGGCCAGCATGGTGAGACCCTGTCTCAAAAAAAAAAAAAAAAAAAAAAAATCTTAAAGAAAAGAAAGAGAAAAGGGAGCTGGAGAGATGGCTCAGAGGTTAAGAGCACTGACCGCTCTTCCAAAGGACCCGGGTTCAATTCCCAGCACATGACACCTCACAGCTGTCAGTAACTCCAGGATCTGACACTCTCACACAGACACACATTGAGGCAAAGCACTAATGCACGTAAAATAATAAAAATTTAAAAGAAGGGGAAAAAGAATTTTGGAGTCTAACTGGGAATTAGCTGTGAACATCAGATTCCAGATACTTTGCGTGTGGTGCCGGAGGTTGAAGCCAGGGTCCCTCATCTATTTTAAGTACATTCTTATTCTTGTGAGTGTGTCAGGGTTTGTTTGTTTGGTTGGTTGGTTTTTGTTTTCTTGACACAGGGTTTCTCTGTGTGTAGCCTTGGCTGTCCTGGAGTCAACTTGTAGACCAGGCTGGCCTCGAACTCACAGCGATCCACCTGCCTCTGCCTCCCTGGAGTGCTGGGATTGATTACAGGCGTGCACCATCTCCCCCAGCTGAGTGTGATCGTTTTTTGAGGCAGAAGTTTCAGG